CGAGATGTTCAACTATCGACCAAAGGGCGGGTGTACTGCTCATCAGTCCGCTCCGTCCTCCTTTATGGCCAGCTGTGAGACCTGGCCACCGAGAGTGGAAGACATGAAAAGATTAGCTGTCTTTGATCATAGGTGCCTGCGCTCTATCTCCCGTGTGAAGTGGCATAATAAGATGAGCAATATTGAGGTGAGGCATCGGTCGAGTGCTAGGTAAGTTGGGAGGAAATCAATCGACGAGGCTGTGAAGTTACATAGACTGAGATGGTTAGGACATGTGTTACGTATGTCTAGTCATTGCCTTCCTCGACAACAGGAAACGTTAGCTGACATAGGGTCAGGCTGGAAAAGAGCTAGCGGAGGTCAAATAAAAATATGGCACCAGTCAATGAAATCTACAACAGTTAGTTTAAGCCACGTAGAAAGGTGTAGACTTCCTGGCTGGTTGGGTCCTCGGGACAGTAAAAACCAATGGTTGGAAACAATTGGTGACATGGCTCAAAATCGTTCTCAATGGCTGGCTGACGCAGATGCATCCACTCCTTATGACTTATGATTTCCAATGAAACTGTCTTGTTCTTCGTTACTACTATTCTTTTGTCTCACACCTCTGTTTACTGGTTCTATTATGCATTTCTTCCACTTTTTTCTCTTACTTTGTGTGCTACATGGAGTGTGGCGACTTGAACTGGTGCACACATTTGCAAAGTTCTATGTCGTAAACAGACAGACAGGCTAAACACGGTTGCTATCATATGGTAGACTGCTCATGCACAGATTTACTACAGCTTGGACGATATCAGTATGGCTTGTTTACAACCGTATGGTTTTCTGCACAGCGTTCAGATATCACGTTAGCTGCTGCTTAGAATATGAACTATTATGAGAGACATACATATTTTTATTGGACACCAGTCAGTAACAAGTGTAATGTTTGTCTTTGGTGCAGAATGAATTCTATCAGTCAAGTTTGCAATATGGCCACCATGCTAGGTGGATCACCATCAAGGTGCACTGTGAATTGTTAGTATTAGATGGTTGGAGGCAGTCGGCCGGGAGCCTTGGATCTAGGCGTATACATTTTCCGACGTATGAAAAATTATGACCTTTTGCGACATTTCTGCCTAGAAAACTGTGTGTTCTTGACTGGCACCACTTTTAGAAATGAAGAGACAAAACTTTATCCAGAGACCTCAAAAAGTAAGTCTACCTTAGCTATAAGAATTCCATTGAGATGGAAGATAGCCGCCACATCTGGAACATTTCTGTGAACCGTAACTATGGATTCGTCCGTGCACGTGTATACCTGGAACTGAACGAACGTATGAACAAGCAGCGGTAAAGTCCTTATGTCCATCATCCGATGAGAAAATAAAGTCTGTATAAGGAAGCTAAATGAACACATTTTCAAATGACTGCAATAGCCTGGCGTCATATCCAGTCTTCTGTGGAAAAAGTGGTGAATACGATTAATAACATGCAACCAAGGTTAATAAAACACTATTAGATTTCTACTATTATGAAAAGTTTGGAAAGAAGGGAAAGTATCGAATGATCGGAAGAAAGTCTGTCTTGTGAAACAATCAGAAAAGAACGACTTGAGCTTTTGTAAAAACTGACATGCAATCGTACCCCTGTTCACGCCAAGCAAAACATTAATTCGTGTCCTCTTGGAGAGACTGAATCCGAAACTCCGCCAGGAACAAGCTGCATTCAGGAAAAGCAAATCATATACTGACCAAATCGCAATGTTATGGATCATAGTCAGAGAGATCACAGAATGACAGTCAAACCTCTGCTTTAACTTCATCGACTACAAAATGGCCTTCGATAGCGTTGACCACGAAGTAATTTGAAAAATACTTCGACATGGCGTGCAGTATCCGAACCTTTATCAACTTCATTCAATAGCCAAATCGCAATGCCACATGTCAAGTGGTCATCAACAGACAATTCAGAAAACTTTGAAGGGAAAACACAAGTATGACAATGGTTCTTATTATTACAGATGGTATTCCTGATTGTGGTGGACTGGATCACGCGGAAAACCGTGGACAGTGAGAACATAGAAATACGTTGCACCGATGAAGAGACTCTAGAAGTTCTAGACTTCGCGGACAATTTATGTCTAATTTCACTCAAACTCGAAGGTCTATAGGTGAAAACCAGCAAGTTGGCAGAAGAGACTGACAGAGAAGACAAGACTTCAAGTGAATATAGAGAGGGTAGAGGTGATGAAGATAACCAACGAACACCAAAAGACATCAGTCACTATCAATGCAAGACATTTGAACGACGTCACCTCTTTTACTTATTTAGACCGTATCGTTTCATCTGCAGGCGGCATGGATGACGGTGTCACAGACAGGATCGGAAAGGCAAGAGAGACATTCATTATTCTGAAATCAGTCTGAAGAGCTGCTACAATCAGAATAAAAAAACAAGATTTGTACTCTCAACACTAATGTTAAATCAATTCTTCTACATGGGTCAAGAACTTGGCGCGTCCCTAAAAGCATTTCCAACAGTATGCAGACTTTTATCAACAGCTGTCTTCGCCCCATATTAAAGGTTAGATAGTCAGAAAGGATTGGCAAGAAACCAGGAAATCTAGCAGTACAATAAACTGACCAACGATTTATTGCCCAAGAAATATTCCGAAAAAATGGAGGCGGATTCGACACGTGCTCAGAAGGTCATTGGGCGACATAGCGTGTCAAGCACAGCCTAGGTTTGAGCGTCCGAGCGTGACATGGAGATGAGAGCTTATGGGCAATCGTAGAGCCAGTTAAGGGCTGCAGACAGCAGGATAAAGTGAACATGTGCAGTTGAAGCCTCATGTTTCACTCGGAAACCAAGACAACGATAATAAATAATAAAAAAAAATAATAGTGGATTTTAGCTAATTCGTTCGAACTGACTAATACAATAAACTGGCCTCGGCAGGTTCCGAGAAGGATAATAAGTGGGGGCTGCTCAAATGTTAGCTGAATAGAAGCTTTACTAGCAGCGGAAACAATGGTAGGCAATGAAAAAAAACAAATAGCCATAAATTATTTAGACGTGTCACGTTTACGACTTCTAAGAAAGCAATGGTAAATAAAATAGTGTCCGGAGAAGGTGGGATTTTAGTAACTTCTGAGCGCTGACAGCTTCAACTTTGAGTAGTTCAGCTGGCCTAGAGTTTCACTTCAGTGGCTCTTCATCAAATCACAAATTAAGTGGGATATAGACTCCAATTCTCCAATCATAACTGAGGCGTCAATAGCTATCTTTAGTGCAAAGCGAGACCAAGAAGCAAAACGTGACAGAATGACTCCGGAGGTGATTAAGAATGATGGTACCTTAGACACTGTTGTTGTATTAGTATGAGGGACAAAGACTTATGCAGGTGTAATCTTCTTATACACCTGTGACCCTGAGGTGAGAATCTACCGCTATTCGGTGTTTCTAATTGTTGCCATCTGTGTAGATTTGGTGACACCATTTTATAGGTTATAAAAAGGAATAACGTCTGTTTGGGTAAGATAGGAATCATCTTATTTAGGTTATATCTTCTTGAGACATCAACTTTGGTGACTGAAACACATGTGTTACGAATATCGTTTTTGTGACTTGCATTTCGTCTACAGTTTATTGGCACTGGGACCGTTCGAAAAGTGTGGAATGGTTATTGTCCATGATTCGTTGCCATTAGAATAGTGAAAAGTTGTCCTGGTTCGGCATTTGTTCATTCACCATATCAATCTGGTTGGGGTTCTACAGCAGATTATGCTACTTAATGACTCAAGGAATCATCAGATGTGCTTCAAGATAGAAACTCATAACAAGCGTGTCTTAGTTACGCTGTTTTCATCACTTGCTAAAGTAGGATGAAGTTATAAGCTCTCCTTTGAGTGTACTTCATAAGTACTCCCAACCGTTTCATTCCCCTCTTCAGCTGTTATTTCTATGTGGCTTAAATTTCGTTTAGCTTACTCTCAGTGCCAATATTATACCAGATTTGTTTTTAAATAAATACTATTCAACAGCTATAGACTTCATACTTTTGTCTGTTCACTAGTTTTAGTCCGTTTCTATCTTCACTACTCATAGAGAAGCCTATTATCAGTTTTGCATGCATAATACATGTTCCACTTCTCATCTCGTACGGGTTCATAACCGTTAAAAGTCGCAAAACCTCTCGTAAATAATTCATGAAGTCATAATAGGTAAACAGATCCTTACAGTTTGCAACATACCTAAGTACAGCTAATTTGAGATCCTAAAGTGATTATACGAAGCTTGACTGACTGGTTTCAACATAGAACTTTGCATCGACATGCAGCAGTTTGAGTGGCCACTAAGATTATGAAGGTGATGTGGGTAAAGGGGAATGATGCTAATGAAGTCTTCGTGTGCTTTTCGAAGTCTGGGGCTGACCACACCGTGGAAGTTGGTTGATTCTTCCGGTACCTGAAACAGAAAGAGAGTTAGTGTTGCGTGACCGCAGAGCCAAGGGGACAACTGCTTGAGTCCTGTCACCCACGGCCCCTATGAACTGGTTTCTTGAATTGGTTCCGTATCAGTAAACTTACCGCCCACAGACTCCCAGCATAGTGTAAAAAAATTCTTACACAATGCTGTGGCTGCTTTTAGTCTAATTGCTATCCCAACAACCTTCCTGGCACGGTAGAACCTGCAGGAACAATAGTTCTAGCTAGTGTACCTTGTTGGTTCATTGAGATATGCAAGCCCAACCACCAAATCAAGGTAGCAATTATCGGTTGGGAAGCTTAGGGGGAACAATTACATTTAACTGATTCCTAATGTGATTTCTTGAAGGGTGTATTAATATCTTAGTAAATTTTCGTTTTATCATTCAGTTTGCTTTTAGAGACTGCCGAAGAATAAATAAAAATAACAGTCTTTATTTTGTAAATCAAATGCAAAAAAGGTAAGTTATTTGTTACTGATTGATCTGTACTCCTCTTAGTGTGTTTTACTGACTTCAAAAAAAAGATATGTTATCCCATCATTCAAATTGCAATCAGGTTTCTGAAGACAATGAGTGTTCTAGAAGTACAACAGGCGAAAACTCCATCAAACCTACTTCATCTACACTCATTTCTGACATTTTGGACGAGTTATCCGATGATGTACTAAAGAGTCGTCTACAATCCATTTTACTAAGCAAAGAGTCTGAGCTTCTTGAGTCTCAATCAGCATACAAACATGCACAGAATGAAATTAATGAATCAAAAAAGCAACTCACCAAACTTGAATTAGAGTTAGTCAGTGTTAAAAGAGCTGCAGAAATGTTAATAGCTGAGCATGATGATACATTATCGACTTTGAAAAAACAGTATGATGAAGAGTTGTCTTCAATATTGATGGCTTCTGAACAGGTGATTACAGTTTTCGTAGCTAACTAGTTGCAATTTTTTAATTCACTTATGTAATAAAGATCAATATTCCATGTTTGTTGAGTCATTTACATATTATTCATTTAACGAGAATAGTTATAGTTGTAGGGAACTGTTTAACTTCAAGCAAACAAGTAGTCTATTCATTTTCTTCGTCTGTGTAGTGATTATTTGTCTGTTAATCTCGATGTGAACTGAACTGTGAATGTTCAACGTAAAACTTAACACATAAATACAGCAGTTCAAGTTCCCGCACTTCACAAAATATACATAAAGGTACGAAGATGCAGAAACTCAATGCAACTTTAGTGCACGGGAATATATACATATATAAACATATTTACATGTGGAATAATTAAAGTTTAGTGGATCTAGTACTTCATAAAAGATGATTGCATCAGCAGCATTGAGAATGATTTTAAGCCAAATCACCAAGTGTTCAACCATTGGGTCTTAGCATCTAGAGGATCCCAACCAGACAGTTTGTACTTTCCTAAGTGACTCATACCGGCAGTGAAAAACTTCATATATAGATACTGTGTTTTGATTTGGTAGCCCTTAACTTTTTTCCAGTCCAGTCGGTATGTCGACTGACATTGATAGCGATGGAAGATGATGGATTGGCGTGTATAATGCATATCCTCACCATGTCCACTAGTGAAGTTTCACAATCTCTCATCTATTGATTTTCCCTCCATTACTGACACTACATCCAACCTTGATATTACTGACCGTATTATACTACTTAACGCGAGAGACTGAACTCAAATACTCATAGTCAAAGACACCTAGCCTTATGGAATCTTTCACTTTGAACTACCATATTTCACAGCCGTAAAATAAGACGGAGTGAACTGCAATGGAGGAGTATTCACAACCTGTTTAATAGATAGCCGAATATCACACATATGCTAGAGATGATGTGAATTGGCGAATGTCATACTGGTCTTTTTTATTTATGATTAGATTTCATCAGTATTCATTCTACTAAGGTCGATGCAACTTCCCAAATAGGTGGAGTGGACAACGCGCTGTGCTAACTCACTCCATACTTTCAACCTAGGAGTTGGTGCAGAATCAGTTCCGCACTATTATTTTGCACTTAAAAATAGCACCAGGTCAAAAAACACGCCCAGTTCTCGACTCCGACAGGTATGTTTATGTCCTAGATTCTGGCGAAGCGTGAAAATATTATTACCATACCTTTTACGGGCTAAGACCTACCGAGTTTTCACGAGTTTGTATCTCCCTACCATCGCTAAGTATACGCAAGATTATTGAAGCTCGGATTTAAGATACTGCTTTAGTCAAGTTAAATCCCCCTATTATTGTCACAGAAAGATTTCTCTCTCTTTATATAAACTGGGACAAGGAATGACTCACTAGTTTAGCGGAAGTACTCCAGATTCTCACACACTGCCTAATATGTTGTCTAACCCAGACAATAATTTCATCACTGCAGTCTTTAAACATATCTGGAATCATATTTTTATGTTTTGCCTGACTTATTTGCTTGACAAGAAAACGCACGAATTGTAAAGCCTCGGTGATCGTCAGCGAACACACATCAAGAGAGAAGGTATGTGCGTTCACCAGCTTCTAGACTTGTACACAATAATAATGAAATAATAATAGTGATAATGGCATGATTTGAAAAGGATAAAGTTAACCGATAGATCCCCAGATGACTTACCACCATGTCCTGGCTCTTGTCCTTGTTTCAGCTCAGAGACAGCCCATATAACCTCAGTTATACTTAGAGGATCAATGGCGTCATTCGATTCAGGTAGGTTTTGAATGCTAGGTGAATTTACCGTAGCTGTAGACCAGTTAAATAACTTCTTTAAGTATTGACTCCAACATTCAAATTGTCTATTTTCGGAGGTAATTAAAGTACTATCTTACTTGAAAACTCTTTATACGACTCAGATACTCAGAGTGTAATTTACAGTGGTATCCTTTGGGATTTTCAAAACTCCAATGACCTTTACGAATCTGAGATTGGTAGTTATGTAAACTTTTTTTGAGAGAGGTAAAGGGAAATTATTCGTTAGCTAAATAATATAATCCAGTCATTTTCTAAGTGTATTAAACAATGATGTGTTAGTATCACCTACTGACACTTATACCGATTTAAATTTAGAGGGTATACGTATTTCTACATTTCATCTGTAACAAGGCATTCGTATCTTCATTATTTTAAAACACAAGATTCGTTTGGAATCAGAAGTATTTTTTGGTGTACTTAAATAAAAAAGATTGACAAATGATACAAAGCCTTGAGTAGTTTCTCATCGGGTACGTCAGTTACACTTAGGTCTCCAAGTACACTTGAAATGTTGGTAAATAGGCGGCACTTCACGGTTCAATACAGTCATTCTTTGTAATTCCTGCAGTTGTTTACATTCATCATCATCATCATCATCCACACAGTAGATGTGGTTAACAATCTTACTCACCAACCTGTGTGTGAGTAGTTACCGTGTTACTCTATTATTTCATCATCGTAGGGAATGAGAATAAAATTATTTGGTTGTTTTACTATTTATGTTATCAGAAAAGAAATTATATAACATACAGATACCATAATGATAAGTGTAAATACATGTTATTACTTAACCCTGTTACATTCTCCATTTCATCTACTTTCTGTATAAGTCATTTTGTATCACTTGTGTGTGTGTGTGCACTTTTTGTTTGTTGCTGAGTATATAGCTCGAAAACTATGGTTAACTGTCAGTTTATATCGTAGTTAATTCTGATATAAGTCTATTTATTTTTGATTTTGAAGATTTGATTATCATTTAATACTTCATTGTGAAGTCGTGTTCGCCTCACAGTTTTACCTTCATCTTGTGAAGAACATATAAAATGGGAAGTTCAGTTTCTATAGTCCTCAACAATTTCTAGAGTTTATAGGGTTTCAATGACTTTTGAGTGATTTTACCTGATGAATCGCTTTCTGACAATTGAGAAGATGTAAAACTCTTTCCAACCAGCTGACAACCACTTACTCAGTGTAAAGAATACTAAACACTTGAAAACAAAGCCTAAGTCGGAACGAAGCCGGGTAGGCTTGTAAGTGGTTCAAGGAATTAGCCTAATACTTGTGAGTGTAAAGGTAGCTGCTGTTTTTAACTGGCGAAACCAAGATCATGCTTCCATGGTTGCTAACATAAATAGTCTTAGATTTATAGCTAATATTATCACCCATTTCAGCTATAAGAAACGTCATGACAGACGTTGGGTTTGTTGTCGATAATGCGTATTTTTGTTGAAGCCAGTTTCGCTATGAGAATGGAGCTTTGTTTGTTACTAACTGAACATAGTTGATAAACTTTGTTTATTATGCCTGTTACGACGTAGTAGTCTGTAAGCGTAATTTTAAATAGTTAATTAATGAGATACTGTTAACGTTGTGCCATCAATGACCATGCACTTCATTCTGACATGTTGGATACTATGGGCAACGACTTCTCATCAGAATTTCAGGACATCAATTCAATAGCCTCGAATAAGAAAGGGATTCGTTATTGGATACAAAAAACTACTTCGTTACTACGGGGAGCCGCCAACAATGGTACACTTCATCCAAAATTTGTACTACAATACTGCTTGCCAAGTAATCCACAACGGGAAACTCACGGAATCCTTCGAAGTGAAGACGGCAGTAAGACAAGACTGCCTACTATCGCCAATGATTTTCTTGATTGTGGTAGACTGGATAATACGACAGACAGCGGTCAACAAGGAGACAGGCATAGACTGGACCCGCACAAAAACTTGGAGGATCTGGACTTCGCTGGTGATATATGTCTGACTTCTCACAAAGTGGAAGATATGCAAGTGAAAAGCAACAAGTTGGTTGAAAAAGCATCGAAAATACAAAGGACTTCAGGTGAACATAGAGAAAACAGATGTGGTGATGGCGATATTCCTGGCCGACAGTAACAACAACAACCACCACAAATGGGAGGAATCTGAAAGAAGCAACCTCCTTTACCTACCGACTTGGGAAGCATCTTTTCAACTACGGGCAGAACTGACGAGGATATCAAAGCGAGGATCGGAAAAGCAATGCAAGCTTTCATTAATCTTAAGTCTCTGTGGAGGGCAACAGCATCCCGCATGAAAAACAAGATGTGGATTTTCAAACCCAATGTGAAGTCAGTGCCACTATACGGAACAGAGACTTGGCACCGCGTTACAAAGGGCACTTTGAACAAACTACAGACCTTTATTAACAGTTGTTTTTGCTCAATACTCATTTCAGATGGTCAGAAAAAGTCAGAAACAGAGATCTCTGGGAGCGAACTAACCCAACAGGAGCCGGTTGTGCAACAAATATGCAGGAAGAAATGGAGGTGGATTGTTCATACTCTGAGAAAAGCATCAAGTGACGTCACACACCGGGCTCTCGAGTGGAAACCGAATGGGGAGCGGCGAGTTGGTCGTCAGTGTGAGGGTGACATGGAGGAGGTTCGAAGAGGAGATGAAAGCATGTGGGTGGATGTGAAGCCATGTGAAAACGTTGGCGGAGAACAGGACGCAATGAAGACGTGTGTCTGAAGCCCATGTTCCTCTAGGTACTAAAGAAGACAATAATATTAATGATATAACCACTCATATTTTCTACTGTAAAACCATAAGCTGGATACTATCATCCATCTGAGTATCTTCTTTAAAGGACGTAACATTACTTTGCAGTGGTTCACTTTGCCACACACACACACATCTTATCTAAACATAAAATAAAGAGTAATAAAAAATAGGGAAATACACTCAAACTTCTCATTGTCTTTTGAGGGAAAAAACAAAAAAACGAGGACAAAAAGGAATTTAGGAAATGTTCTGTTACTATCAAGATGAAAATCAGATATTACCATTTAGTGGGCGGCTAGACTTTACCTTAAGTCTTTTCCGCCGTCATTTTCCTTGTTTTCTTTGTAAATATCAACTTTTGACTCGTACTTCTCTGTTATGACTTTATTAATCCTTGTTTAACAAATGTCAATTACTTTAATAAATCTGAGCCATCGCCTCCCTAGACGACTAATGTTAGCTAACATAGGCTTAGATGTAGGCCTGGTCAAATCAAAGCGTAGCATCAGTAAATGAAATCTTTGACAGTTGGTTTGAGCAAAATCGACTGCATAATTATATTCCTCAAGACGATAAAAATCAATGTTTTGAGACCATCAGTTATGACATATATAAAAATTATATTTGTAAAATCAGCAAAATTAAAAATAAGTGATTCCAACGTTTCGTTCAGCAAACTGGTCCGAACTTCTTCAGGGAAATTAATCGAAACTAAAATAACAAAGGTTTATATATACATATGTATATATAAAGAACAGTAGATTGAGGATGAGGCAGTAACTTATCCAAGAAGACATTGCGAAGTGGTCGCGCTATGTCATGAATCGGTAAAAGTTAGAATTCATGGTTTGACCATTGGATTGGGTCCCAGTGGCTTAGTGGTCTTCGAACTAGCTCGCCTTGTAACCAGAAGATCCTGGTGCGTGCGCGCGGATCAGGAGTCCTAAACTAGGACGAAACAGCTGTCCAGTACACACTGCAGGTTTTCCAATGGTTCTATTGGGTGCAGTGCAATCCTGATTCATAAATAAAAATGCATATGTATCACTAATCAATCACACTTGAGCTAAATTCCCGTTTATCACGGATTGGTGAACTTTATCTAGGTCAATGTGCCTGTTGGTTGCTGGTTCACTGGAATACCACGCTTCCGAAAAATCACTGGCGTTCTTGGTACTTCCTCTTCCTAATATTTTAGCGTTGTTCCGGTCGAATTGTAACAACTGCAAAAACACTACATTGACCAAAGTAGACGCCCTCTTCGTCTTCGTGTGCATGAACACAAACTAGTCAAAAGACATGATATCCACTCCCTCATATCACTGCATACAGACAACCTCGGACATCAGTTCGACTGGGACAACGTTCAAATATTAGACAGTGGAAACACCAAGAACGTTAGAGAATTTTCGGAAGCGAGGTACTCCAGTGAATCGGCAATCAATAAGCATATTGACAGATAAAGTTTACCAATCCATAAGAGGAAATTCTCATGCACAAAAGTCAAACTTCAGATCAAGGAAATAATCAGTACCAATACAAATAGACTAGAGGGCGTGAAAACACACACAAACAACCAATCACGTTCAAGGTCACCGGGAGAGGTGACTAATAAACTGGTGGAGAAACCTAAAAGCTCATTTCAAAATGAGGCATTTGCTGAAGTTGTTGCTTAGTTGAGCAATGAAAGCTTCTCAAGTAAACCATCCAGCTCAGAGAACACAAGGTTCTGGATTGGTTAGTTCGCAGACTTTCTTGTTAGTAATTCTTTCCGGCTATATGATATTCAGTATGGAGTGAAGGAAGCTGTCGATAAAAGAAAGTCTATGTATGCGTCATCATTAGTTTGGACTGAACACTGTGGGTTATTTACACCATTAAAATGGCGGCTGCTTCTTAGTCCTACCATTTCGCCTTTCAAGTTCGGCATTATTTCTAGTAATAATTGCTTCAGTAATTTACATTTTTGTATTACTCAGGATTAACCAACTACATCAAGTTGTCTATCGGTGGTAAGTGTGAAATCAAGACATACTAAGTTATTACAGAATTCTTTATATTAATAATGCTGGACATAATACGTCTCCACTTCTCTGAATCTTGCCAATTAATTTTTATTTTCCTAACTAAGGGCTATCTACATCAGTGTGCAGAAGATCAACACCTAAATGATTCATCCTATTCACTATCGGAAAACTGTGAAACTCGGAAGTCTTCGGTTCAATCTGTTGAAAAGAAATCCGCTCAAAGTTTAGCTAATCAAGCATTTGACAAGATGGAGAAATTAGTTCGACGTGTCAGTCACAAAGCTTTAACAAATAATTTTATTTTAAATAAATCCAGTGTATCCTCAATTTTATCGAATCAAGAACTTTGTCCGAGTAAAGAGGATCGTTTACGTGCTATTATAGAACCCTATGAAACGGAAATCTCGCGTCTACAACAAATTCTTATCAATCATTCCATTCCGTTTAATGCTACAACCTCACATCCTGGTATGTTGAGTGTTATATATATATATATATATATATATATATATATATGCCTGTCAAATACATATCCTCTTGTGTCAGTCTATGAATTGTTTGCCTACTTGATTCGATAAATGCACTAGAATTGAAAATTATAACATTCAAAGTTAACTACAATACTTTAAAATTGTTATAGTATTTTTAACATGAGGTGAAAATACCGTATTATAATTTTCCTGATGGTTCCATTAGGATGTATTTATTATTCAAGAGCTATGATTACATCTTGACTGTGCAAATCTGGGTAAATATAGTTGGATTTTAGCTTATGACAGCGTATTTAAAAACCATTTTCTGAGTATCTTAACATTGTAGAAATATGTACAGAATTGTGTCAGCTCAAGTCGTGACCCTTCGGTAAAGTACACATATACATGTAGAAATGTAATGACACTATAACGAACGAAAATGTACGAGGGATAAAATAATTGAATGCACATTTGTGGAGATGTTGGAAATCTGGATGATGATAAGTAGTGTAGACAAATGTGGGCTTTTGTGAACAATTCAAAGGTTTTTTTTCCCAAGTCACCCTAACTGCTGATTCGTACCATTTTTTTTCCTTCACGTTCCCCAGTGGAACATAGCGTAATCTTACTTCAGTTGTTAATTCTCTTTCCTGATAAGGGTTCAGTGATTAAACATGTGTAACATGTTGTCGGCATTTCAATAAATGAAGCTTCACAACCTCATCGTTCGAGTTCCCTTATATTTTCTGTACATTTAATCTCATTTTTTTGTTATCATGTTGTTCCATTTTGCATTAACAGTTGAACGATGATAATTATCATCATAAAGCTCAAATATATTTATATCTTTAACCTTTAGAAGCTTTATAGTAGGACAACGAACTGTTGTAAGCTCCTACACACTGGCTATAACGTTTTAGTCAAAGATAGTATAAGCTGGTTAATGTCGAACCAGCTATTTCTATCAGCTTTGAGATTTCAACACTGACTAGTTCATTTGAACTGGTGGGACTTCTCAAATAAGTGAAGTGGTTAGTCATTTAAAGTACTGATGCACAGATGATTCCATCGTCTCTATCCTGCCTACCTCCAGTAACTTAAGCAAGATAATTATATTAGTTTAATATTGTGTAACATTTGAATGAGATGAATATGGTGAATTTATGTACAATTCATGATTTTAATTCTCTTTATTTTTTAAGTCACTCCACTGATATAGTGTCTTTGGTAGAAAATGCACGTTGGTATTCTAATAAACTCTTCTAACTAATGTTCAAGTACCATTCGTCGTCGGTTAACAGACTGTACATAATAGTCAAATTATATAAAACCTTTTGACGAAACGTTGTATGTCGGTCTCCTCTGCTGATGAATCTTCACATTGACTATAGAATCCAGTACCTCCTGGTTACAAGGCAAAGTCGTAAACCATCCAGCCACTGGGACCCAACTCAGTGGCCTATGAAAATTAGTCTGATACTCGCTAGTGACGACTGGCTACCGGACGGAGTTTCCTGGAGTCTTAGTAAGAAGTAGTGACCAGTAGGGGCCATCCTGTCGGGAGTGAGGACAAATGCTTACCGATGACATTGACTGGTGGTCGAGCTGAAATCACGAATTCGTCGAGGTGAGAATTCATTGGCTGGTTGAATGGTCTACGAGCTTGCCTTGTAGCTGGAAAGCCCTGGGTTCTAAACCTGGTAGGTGTCTAGTGATGAAGAATTCCAAACTAGGCTGGTGAAACAGCTGTTTAGTATTCTCTGTAGGTTTCCACTGTTTCTCTAACTGATATCAACATAAAACAAATCAAATCCCTACAGACGAATTCTTGAAAACTCAAGCTTTTAGTTATATGCTCCACTCGAAACGCAAACAAATGAATAAAGTATTAGTATTAGTAGTAGTAGTAGTCTTCGCACAATTAACTGTTTAAGTAGTGTTGCACGCCATATTGATCATCCCCTTAATTGCTTTAATGATTACGGGAAAAAGAACTCATTTCAATATGTGTACCACATGTTGTTTCGCAGTCACATGTTTCAGAATAGGCTTGATTGAAATGCAGTTAAAACAATAATTTTTGCTCTAACCAAAATGAAATGAAAGTTGATGCACACCACTAGACAAATATTTCTTCTCTCTATTTGTTTACATATTGCCGGGTAAAAAACAATAACAAGTAAATTGGTGTCTTCATTTTTATTTTTTCACACACAATATATATATGGGCATTTTTATAAAGGCTACGAAACGGGACTTATTTTCACTGTAGTCCTTGAAGGTGAAATTAAGTAGGGATTAAGGAAGGGGATCTTTTAAGGAGTATTATTGTAGTGATGAGCTATCCGGCTCACAGATTTTAATTATGTTTCTGTGATCTTGCTTACATGCACTTAACATTATTATTATTAATCCGTGTTTTGTGGAACATATGACTTCACCAGCATGTCTCCGTTGCGCTCGGTGTTTTGGAGTTACTCTCCACTAGCTAACTGTAAACCTCCCTATAAGATTTCGTTTCTGCTTCATATAGTCTTCTTTGCATCACTCCTGGAGGCCCAGTCAGTCTCTACTTCTCCTTCGGGTTCCACTCAAGGCCCTGCCGTTTTGTGTAACCTAACGATCTTAGTGTATATTCTGTTCGTCTTAATTTCCTTCTGCCTATATTTTCATTGGTTTACCGCCCACTAGGGTTCCTTGTTGTTTGCTTATTCTTTATGTCCGGCCGTTTGATTTTCAGTATCGAACGAAGTGGGCAACTGTTGTGATTAAAGTGCACATCAACCTGCTGGAAATGTTCTTGTCCCTTCCGCATATTGCATGTTGTAGATCTCTACACTGAATCCATAGTGATGAACACTTGTCTCGCTTTTTCTGCCATGAGCAGCTTTGACATCCTCATCTGTGCCGTCTATAGTTAGAACGATGCTGCCTAGATAAGTGGAAGAAGTGACTTGCTTCCGATTTCTTCGGTTTGTGGAGATTGCTACTTGTTAGGTGTCTTCACCACCTCTGTCTTCTCTATGTTTACTTGAAGTACTGTCTTCACTGCCTATTCTTTCGACTTTTCAGTTTTAACGTGTAGATTTTCGGGTGTGTGTGAAGTAACAAATAAATCATCTGTGAACTCTGGATCTTCTAGTCTTCTTATTGGCCCAATGTACTTCTGTCTTTTCGCTCCCTATGGTGCGCCTCATGATTCAGTCTACTAGAATCAGAAATATCATCGGTGATAATAGGCAGCCGTGTTTTATTCTTATCTTCACTTCAAAAACTTTTTGGTGAGCTTTCCAATGTTAATTACTTGGCATACAGCGTCATCATATAGTTGTTGAATGAGATTTATAAGTGCTTTCGGTGTTGCACTCCATAGTGCTAAGTCAGTTCCTAATTTAAATCATGGCCAACTCTGTAAAAAGCATTCCCAAGTCGATGAAGTTGTAGTAGAGGGTTGACTTCTGTTCTATACTCTGTTAGATGATGATGCATAGCATTGCAATTTGTTCCCTGTATGACTTATTTTCTTCCTCAACCTACATTTTTCAGGTCGGATTCTATTATCGGAGTCGTCTTTCAGCCTCTCGACGATAGCGATAGATATTAGCATGATTCCATGCTAGTTCTTTTATGGAGTTTGACATGGTGGGCTCTATTCCAGCCAATATATGTATTCCCTGCACTCCTGTTGCAGTAATGGAACAGGAATGTCCGCTGAGGTCTCTGGCTACGTTTTCAGTGCTTCATGTGAGGAGACAATTTGTTCCTACTGCTTTTTAATCTCTTAGTAACTTTATGACCTTCAAAAATTCTGTTTTTATCGGATGGTCAGAGTTTACTGGTTGTTCTTTTCCTAATGGTGGTATTTCTCGGTGAATTGTAGGTGGTGATCAATTCAAGAGTCTTTTGAAATCGTCACTCTACCATTTCCTCTCTCGCTTCCAGTGAGCTCCACGCTGTTTTCCCCAATGATATTGGTTGTTGTTATTCTTACTGAGACTCTGATAGTCCAGAAATCTCTGTTTCAAGTAGCAAAGCTTTTTTTTCACAAAAGTCACCTCTTGTGTACTATATATTTATCGAAATTTGTAAATATCCTGTTTTCCTTGTGGTAATTTGACTCACAAACCTACTTCACTTAGCTTCAAAACAGTAAATAAAGAGAGTGGAGAGAAGAAAAATACAATGTTCATTCATTAAATAAGTTTGTATCAGAGCATTTATACATGTGTGTTTATACAAAAAGAATTGTTTTTCCCTACAGTACTGCAATTCACTAGGTATTTGTGTGTGTGTGTGTGTGTTATAACCCAGAAAGCCGCTTTTTGTGTCGATGAATTTACATAAAAAAATGAAAATCAATGTTAATTCTTCCAGTAGAGAGTGGGATACTGCATTTAAGGGTTTTTCTCTCAGTCTAGTGTTCTGAAAAGAACAATCAATCTACGTAATATTCCTTTTATGTGATGAAAATGGTGTCAGGCATGAACTAACTAACTAACCTTCTTTGCACTACTAAATAAACCATTTCTTCCACGCTTACAACATCAACCTTTATTGTTATTGTATTTCTTATATTTATAATTCTCTCAATTTTTTTGTTTTTATTTTATTTTTCATAAGTGTGAACATCCTTTAAGCTATGTTACCACTGTTAATCTTGCATTTCCCCTCGCTATACTACATCAACAGAAGATTAGATTCAATACTCTGTAGTAACATGCCAAAATTTTCAAACTGAATCGATAATACTGTTTGAAACAAACTCACTGTTATTAATATTAATATTTGATGATCTCAATTCGTGCTTAGAATATTTTTGACTTTATATTGTAAGCGTCGACAAATTCCTCTGGTTACTTTTGTTTTAATTTTACTTATATTTTAAGTAAATCAGATGCAAGGTGTTGTGACAAATGCTGAGAATTCCATTCTGTATTATAAGTACTGTTTTTGGAATAAAGTAAAATAAATTATTAATTATTATTAAGACATCGT